ACAGTAGCATCTCATTAATATGTGTAATATATTTGTAGAATATACACGTTAATCTAATGTATATATAAATGTGTGCAGTTTGATTTAATGTCAATAAATAATTGCTTGACTCCTTTTCCTCTTGCATCTGTCTTTACAGGCTGGGTTGTTGACACTTGGATCTCTCATCATTATCATCTTGTTGACCCTGTTACAGAAATACATTCTGGCTACCTCAAATACCGAATACGACTCGCGCTATCTCCCGCCACTTTTGAACCGTTGAGCTATGATTCAAGCTCTGGTCGTGAAATGGAAGTGTCAGTGTGAACGCTGATTCACACACACAAGTGTCTATAAACTACCCTTGAACTGACACAGACGACAAAACAAAAGGACAAAAAGAGTTACAGTAAAAGATAACATATATAAAGATGTGTCACTAAAGAAGATCAAAGACGAGAATGACCACATAGTGAAACAATTAAGATACACAGAAAAATACTGTAGACCCTAGTATGCACACTGTCGGCACCACTGTCGGCACTGTGGTAAATACACACTTTATCAATAGTTGTACCACTGTCAGTATTACGCTAGCCACACACTGTAACAATAGCTGTACCACTGTCAGTATTACGATAGTTACACAATTCCTCAATAGTTGTACCACTGTCAGTATTGCGATAGTTACACAATTCCTCAATAGTTGTACCACTATCAGTATTGCGATAGTTACACATTCCTCAATAGTTGTACCACTGTCAGTATTGCGATAGTTACACAATTCCTCAATAGTTGTACCACTATCAGTATTGCGACAGTTACACAATTCCACTATAGTTGTACCACTGTCAGTATTGCGATAGTTACACCATTCCTCAATAGTTGTACCACTATCAGTATTGCGACAGTTACACCATTCCTCAATAGTTGTACCACTGTCAGTATTGCGATAGTTACACCATTCCTCTATAGTTGTACCACTGTCATTCCTCGATAGTTACACCATTCCACTAGTTGTAGTACTATCAGTATTTGTGCCACTATCAACAGTAAAACCATTCCTCAATAGTTGTACCACTATCAGTATTGCGACAGTTACACCATTCCTCAATAGTTGTACCACTATTTAGTATTGCGACAGTTACACCATTCCTCAATAGTCGTACCACTGTCAGTATTGCGATAGTTACACCATTCCTCAATAGTTGTACCACTATCAGTATTGTGACAGTTACACCATTCCTCAATAGTTGTACCACTGTCAGTATTGCGACAGTTACACCATTCCTCAATAGTTGTACCACTGTCAGTATTGCGACAGTTACACCATTCCTCAATAGTTGTACCACTGTCAGTATTGCGATAGTTACACCATTCCTCACTAATTGTACCACTATCAGTATTGCGACAGTTTCACAATTCCTCAATAGTTGTATCACTATCAGTATTGCGACAGTTACACCATTCCTCAATAGTTGTACCACTGTCAGTATTGCGATAGTTACACCATTCCTCAATAGTTATACCACTGTCAGTATTGCGATAGTTACACCATTCTTCAATAGTTGTACCACTGTTTAGTATTGCGACAGTTACACAATTCCTCAATAGTTGTACCACTATCAGTATTACGACAGTTACACAATTCCTCAATAGTTGTATGTCAGTTTGCGACAGTTACCACCTCAATCCAGTATATTGCGATAGTTACACAATTCCTCAATAGTTGTACCACTGTCGGTATAGTTACACCATTCCTCAATGCGTGATAAATTACCACCATTCCTCAATAGTTGCCCGCTATACCACTGTCAGTATTGCGATAGTTACACCATTCCTCAATAGTTGTACCACTATCAGTATTGCGATAGTTACACAATTCCTCAATAGTTGTACCACTGTCAGTATTGCGACAGTTACACAATTCGACTATAGTTATACCACTGTCAGTATTGCGATAGTTACACCATTCCTCAATAGTTGTACCACTGTCAGTATTGCGACAGTTACACAATTCCTCAATAGTTATACCACTGTCAGTATTGCGATAGTTACACAATTCCTCACTAATTGTACCACTATCACTATTGCGACAGTTTCACAATTCCTCAATAGTTGTATCACTATCAGTATTGCGACAGTTACACCATTCCTCTATAGTTATACCACTGTCAGTATTGCGATAGTTACACCATTCCTCAATAGTTATACCACTGTCAGTATTGCGACAGTTACACAATTCGACTATAGTTATACCACTGTCAGTATTGCGATAGTTACACCATTCCTCAATAGTTATACCACTGTCAGTATTGCGACAGTTACACAATTCCTCAATAGTTATACCACTGTCAGTATTGCGATAGTTACACCATTCCTCACTAATTGTACCACTATCAGTATTGCGACAGTTTCACAATTCCTCAATAGTTGTATCACTGTCAGTATTGCGACAGTTACACCATTCCTCTATAGTTATACCACTGTCAGTATTGCGACAGTTACACCATTCCTCAATAGTTATACCACTGTCAGTATTGCGATAGTTACACCATTCCTCAATAGTTATACCACTGTCAGTATTGCGACAGTTACACCATTCCTCAATAGTTGTACCACTGTCAGTATTGCGACAGTTACACCATTCCTCAATAGTTGTACCACTGTCAGTATTGCGACAGTTACACAATTCGACTATAGTTATACCACTGTCAGTATTGCGATAGTTACACCATTCCTCAATAGTTGTACCACTGTCAGTATTGCGACAGTTACATTCTGTATCAGTAGTTGTACCACTATCAGGACTGTGTAAAGCACACTACATCACTAATTGTACCACTGTCATTAGTGTGATCAAGAACAGAGAACCACAGAGACCACAGGAATAAGGTTTTTTTTATGTCAGTTTATACTTTCCTAAGGATATCAAATTACCACTGTTGTCTTCTCTATTCCTGTCTGAACGTTAAAGTTCTATACGCTACTTAATCTTCACTAACAGTTCAATATTCAAGAAACAAGGGCGAGATATCTGAATGACTCTATTCAGCACAGTTGACATGTCAAAGTGTAAGTTTAATCTCCTCAGTTAATGCTATACAGAAGTAGGAGTACATGTAGAGAGACTACGTAAGAATATTTAACTATATGAGCAATCACCTGATCACCTTTGTAGTACAAGTAAGCGGCATCGAGTTCACATATGGATACATCTGATAAATTCCATACAAAAGGTTTGTTTCCTTCTTAACTGAAAGGGGCGGTAGGGTAGCCTAGTGGTTAAAGAGTCCACTCGTCACACCGAAGACCCGGATTCGATTCCCCACATGGGTACAATGTGTGAAGCCAATTTCTGGTGTCCCCCGCCGTCATATTGCTGGAATATTGCTAAAAGCGGCGTAAAACTATACTCACTCACACACTCACTCTTAACTGAAACAAGTATACTTGTTTCCAAAAGGGTCCTTTCTTCTTTAACATATCTGCATTCATCAAGGTGTACTATTGTTTGAAATAAAGGTCTCTTCAACACGTACATTATTTCGTAACATGCATCTAAATGTACAGGATGGTATCGCCGATGGCTTTGCACATTTGCTTGTTGAAAGCGTAACGTATACTAGGTAGATAAAACTGTTAGATAGAACGGTATAACTGTAACTCATTTACATTGTAGCAGTCTCATGCATAATTAATTTCTAACTCATTATAATCAATTCTAATCCTTGGACACACAAGGACAGGTGTAATAGATTGACGATGACGTACATTGTCGAAGATACAGGTTTAATCTAGATTTAAGTACACCTGAATATAAACTTCACAATGGGTTTTTATTGCCCGAGTTGGACTATAAAATATTTAAGGCCGGCAATATGTATTTAATACAGTTCAATTTATTTCAATAACTCTGTGACACACTTATTAGAATGAGTTCAATATCACGCACATAATTATGCATATGACATCGAGGAATCATTGTAGAGCATTGTCTGCACTGCTATTATTTGATAGCTGTTTGCGTCATACTCTGAATACAAAGCTACTGCTAGTCCAAGCTAATAGTGAGGGGGCGTGTGGGCGTGTGGGCGTGTACACATTTCCATACATGACAGTTTTACAAAAACATCAATATACTGCAATTGATCCAATTCCGGTCTTCATTATTGTATCTTTCAATATCTCAAACATTAAAAGGCGTTACCAGTGCACGTTAATGTTTACCAACAATCATATAAAAAACAAATCACAAAAAAATACAAACATTTAATTAAGTAATTAAATTTAAGACATGTGTGTCATAAAGTTCGATGTAAACAAATAAGGCGAGATAGAATACAATGTGGTGAGAAAGGGATCGGACACGAATATGCTTGAAAAACTTAACGTAAATGATTGTCTCCAGTGTCATATAGACTCGGACTCTGTTTACATCTTCAAATAATCTAATGATTATTCTTAGGGGGAAGCAATATTTTTATAGGAGGTAACTTAGATCGTTGGGAAAAATATATATCTAATGTTCTGTATTTTTTGTAACATATATAAGGTTATATAAGTGTAGCCAAGAAGCCTGAGTGAACGCAAGACCCGGGCTATTTTGTTCTCGATAAGATACCAGGGATTGAGAATTGTCGCCCACACTTATTGCTTGATTTGCCCCTAGCGGGGTTACCGTGATCTAGGAAACTTGTATATACACAATTTACCTGTCTTGAACAGAGTGGCTTGAGTGGTATGTTTTCACGTTTAGGTCTCTTGTCATAAGTGCCTCTTCAGACACAACTGACACACAAACACTTTTGTTACAACGTTGTTAGTACTCACATAATTTTACCGATTTACTTAATTATCGATTAAAATATAAAACTTTTCCATAAATAGACCATTGAGGCTGTATTTAGCGCTACCCTACTTCTGATAGAACAGATATAAGCTGGTATTATCTGAATCGATAACAAAGGGTTCGTCGTAAATATTCTTGGTTTGAGGGTGTCTAATTTTGTCTGAAGCTTACCAGTTTTAGGACAATATCTTATCATTGTGATAACCGAGGCCTCTCCAGTAGAGAGCAAACCTAAGAATAGGCATTTAGACTCCTCCCTCTTCCTGTATTCACACTAGGGAAAGGATACGGGGACAGTATATAAGGCCCAGCATCCCCGGATCTCGCCACACGACAACCTGTGTTCTACCAGACGTTATACAAGATGCTCATTGAGATAGTACTCACCCTTGTGGTCCTCCTTGCTGGATTCCTCTGGTAAGCCAAACGTCTCTTGTAACATAGTTATAGATGGTATATGTATGATGACATATTCCCAGTTGTCTTAGTCTATTTGTATTTTAGCAGAAATGATATATTTATTATTTTATGAGAACATATTTTTATAATCAATATGGATGTACGAAGCGTGTGAGAAATAATAATCATAAGAGCTAAGATTGTTTTGAAATTCATTTCAGTTTAGTTTGTAACTCTCTATTTTTAAATCTGATATTTAAATCTGAAATATAATCATGATCTTCTTTTTCTGAAGGCATCTGAAGCGCCATTTCAGCGTGTTCAAGCGTCTAGGAATCCCTGGGCCGGAACCTTCAATCATCTCTGGCAATCTGATGGAAATCATGAAGAAAGGCCAGTTTCAAGCAACCGTTGACTGGAGTAAGAAATACGGACGAATCTTTGGTTACTTTGAGGGCTACACTCCTGTCATGTCCGTTAGTGACCCTGACCTTCTCAAACAAATTCTGGTGAAGGATTTCAAGAACTTTCAATGCCGTAAACAATTCCCCCTGGCACCCCGGAAGAGTCTTGGGCTGTTCCTGGAGAACGGTCAGCAATGGAAACGGAGTAGGAACCTGTTGACACCTGCATTCAGCTCTGGGAAAATGAAGCAGGTGAGCATGATAGATTTCATCGTAATGCAAAACGTTTAAAACATTTTATGATATATGTTCATACAAATGTTGTTAAATTCGCATAGTGAAGAACATATGAACATGAACATGATCTTTATTAAAAAACTAATGTATACAGCTAAATTCTTATTCTCATCTCTGTTCTGTTTGCTACAGATGTTTTCAATCATAACGGACACTGCTGACATTCTGATTGACAACTTGGAAAAGAAGGCAGCATCCGGGGACTCCTTTGATATCTACAGTACCTTCCAATGTCTGACCCTTGACGTCATCGGCAGGTGCGCTTTCGGCCTCCGCACAGATGCCCAGACCGACCCCAACGACCCTTTCCTCAACAACATCAGGACTTTGTTCAACACTCTGTCCAAGACTCTCATCCTCCCCTTAGTCAGTAAGTACTCCACTAGTTAAGTTTTGAGTATCTTCCTAATGACAAAAGAGAACACTATTCTAAATTTAATATAAATATAGTTAAAATATAATATTATTGGTTTTATAAATTGTGAAATACGGTGCATTCCAAACCATGTACTTAACCTTGTGTTTTGTGTCTTGCAGTGTTTCTTCCTTTCCTCTCTTACGTGGTGTTCTTCCTCAAGAACCTCGTGGTCATCTTTGGTATGAATCCCGTAGTCTGGCTGCGCGAGCAGATGAAGGAAGTCATAACCATCAGAAAAGAAATGGGGGTACGTCTTCATGAAACTAATCTCACACCCCAACATCTTTCGGATGATACTACCAAAGGATGTATCCAAACACTGACGTCACTAGTAATTCCAGTAAGCAATGCATCATACCAATGATCACTGAATGTTAATCTGGCCACATTAATATATCTAAATGTCTTATTTTTTCAGGAAAACAGTAGCATAGTGGACCTGGTCCAGATGATGTTGTTTCCCGAGAAGGCCCGAGGTAACGAGAAGGATCCCCTGAAGAAGGCAATGACTGACAGAGAGGTGGTGGCGCAGAGTATGACCTTCCTTCTGGCGGGATACGAAACCACCAGCACAGTATTGGCTTTCTTCAGTCACATACTCGCTGTACACCCGGACGTGCATAAGAAACTCACCTCAGAGATCGAAAAGAAAGTGGGACAGGTAGGCTGAGATAATATGTTACACTTGGTTTTAATTATTATGCGAGTGAGTGAAGGTAGTTTCACGCTGCTTTAGTAATATTCTATTGGTCACCAGAAATTGAAATCTCACATTGTCTCCATGTGGGGAGTCGAACTCGGGCATTTGGCTTGACGAGCGAACGCCTTAGCCACTATGCTACCCTATCATTCAAGTGTATTTTGCAATTATTCCGTACTGTCTTGTTCTTAGCTGAATACACGAAAATTAAAAAGTAATTTCTAATCGTTAGGTGTTGTGCTAAATATTCGGGTGTTACAGTGTGTTATAGTTTGTATCTCATTCATTTCAGCGTGACATCACATATGACTCCGTTCAGAACCTGAATTACTTCGATAAGGTGTTCGATGAAGTCTGTCGCCTCTACCCAACTGCCTCATTGTAAGTACAGCACATCATATGGCGTACCATATACTCTTAAAAAAGGGGAACTATCATTTCCAAAAATGAAAGAGACAGTATGTTTCTGGCCGAAAGGGATGAGATGCGAATTTTCAATGTTAGCTTTTTTGAATAATAGTGCCTAATACCGCAATGATTTATCTAACATCTGTTCCCTCTTCGTGGAATATATGCATCCCAACACGTTCGTCATGCTTGTGGTTTCTTGGTACCTGTTCTATAGTCTGCTAATCAAAGGTTCTGAAACACTGATCGTTTTGGACACTGCATACTTCTAAAACGCTAACAATGATTGAAATCTATTTAATCTGAACTGTACGATAAGCAGAATCAATATGATTGACAGAAATAATGGCTTACAGACAATTATCGATCTTCCTTGTAAACGTGTAAACTACGACTGACGCTCTACACACGTGCGCGACACGTGAAAGCTATCGAATACATTTTGGCGTTATGTTTCACAGGCATTAACTTTTTTCGTCAACGCCTATCTAATTGTTCTAATAGGAATTAATTATTCATATTCACTAGAGGTGTCACGATTCGGTTCGGTTCATCGAAATTCGAATCGATAGATGTACGATTCGATCTCGATTTCCAATGCATCCATTTCGATTCGATTCATAAAGTACTTACTTTCTAATACTGAGAGTTTATTTCACCTGAAATCGTAAGAAATTATGTTGAAAATTCGCTGCTACAAGTGTGGCCAGTGAGAGGGTATTCTCCACTGCCGGAGACATTGTAAGTGCCCTGAGGGCATGTCTTTCAAGTGAAAATCCCTTGTACAGAACACGGTCATTCCAAATGACTTACAGTGACATTACAGTCAAATGAACGCTTGACACCAGAGTTCGTGACTGAAACTTAATTTCATGATCACATGTTCAGTGAGTATTTGTTGACAACTTGTCTCTACAGTGTACTAATTGTGCATTGTGCCAATTTTCCAAAGTTTGCCAAATTAAACCGATATTACAACAAACGTGACTTTGTCCTCAGCTTCGGTGAATCGAATTGAAATTAATCGAATCGAACGACTTGAATCGATAATCGTATCGAATCGAAGTGAGACTGAATTGTGACACCCCTAATATTCACGATTTCCTACATTTTTGATAGCATTGTGGGAAAACAAAAGATGTAATATAAGTTATAATTGTGATTAACTTTCTAACATTCACTATGTAATCACACAGTAACGATGTCAGTACGGTTGTGTCATTAAACGTTATTTTCATATTTCGTATTAACGGCTAACAGGCGTGGTATCGAGTAACATGTATATCTACGGACTTAAATGATGACATATTGCCCATACGACTTGGAATACATACCCATTCACTCATAGAGTTATGTATAATTTGAACAAAGAACAGAACGTAGTACTTAATAATCTATTAAATTTATTATCCTGTTTCTTTTCAGGATTGTGACAAGAAGGGCAGCTGAAACGAAAACGTACAATGGCGTCACCATCCCTGCTGGTATGAACATCCATGCCAACGTATGGGCTCTCCACCATGACGAGGAATTCTGGGAAAGTCCGGAAACTTTTGACCCGGAAAGATTCTCCAATGAAAAGAAGAGTGCTGCAGCTGGATATACCTTCCTTCCCTTTGGGGCGGGGCCACGTGCTTGTATTGGAATGAGGTTCGCCATCCTAGAAGCTAAGATTACGATGGCCAAAATATTACAAAAGTTTACCATACAGAAAGCAGAAGACACAAAACTTAACCTTCAGTTAGAAGCCCGGGGTGCCATTGTTCCTAAGGAGGAGGTGAAGGTCAAACTGATGAGGAAGTCATGTGACGCTGGAAACAGAAGACGCGGTTGAGGCTCATGATGATCCTTTAAATGACCAAAGATGTAATGAAAGTCATGCCCACGTGACTTATGCACTAAGCACTCTCAGAGGCCAGTCAGGGAGTCCCATCTGGAAGGCCAGTCTCGACGCCCGTCCAAAGAAGTCCGTCTACAACATCAGCCTTGGAAGGACCGTCCGACCTTGACCTGAGAGGAAACTGAAGTTTCACACCTATAGTGCTAACGCTGCATAAACAAGTAGATCTGCTTTAAACAGATCACGAACATCTGATCAAGACAGAACGTTTTTATGTGCAGCATGTATACATGTTATGTATATATGCAGCTTTATGTAAAGTCTGATCACTGGCAGGTGAAAGTCAGCGGTCAATGATGTGAATGTCATGTGTGTCAGCCAAGAACAGTTCCTACATATACTTAATGCTATACCTCAATGTTTATCTTTTATGTTTGATATTAGCCTCGATAAAATAAATAAATAATTTGTGTGTATAACCTTTAGTCTGTTTGTAATGATAGTCATACTCTGCTACGCGATCTATGAGACATGATATGTCGACAGAACTTGTAGGTTGTTGTATGGGAGAATACGCTATCGATATGTCGGACGAGGCCTTCTTCGTGCCTCGCAGACGCCGAACTTACATTTAGGTGTAGGTGTTATACATCTCATTAAAAAAAGTAACGTATGTGGGAGAATTACAAGCTCTCACTGAGCTCCTTTCATGTGTCTTGACTTGACTAAACCATACCCGACCTAGCGTGTCTTATCCAATTGGTAACCGTCTACGGGTTTACCTCAAATGTGGACTGGTCCCCTGTATCATTTAGTGTCTCATCATCAGCTTCCTCAGACTACAATGTAAAGACAAGTTGTCAACACTAGAAAACAAGAAACAGTATCTGCCATAACAGATTCCATTGGGCGTAAAAAGTGAAATAATGGTAAAAGTATACAAATGGATCACTGAAAATCAGAAAACTGAAAGCCACCGATAGCACCTGCCATTCTCACAATTTGCCAAAAAGGTGTTTTCGTGTTTGTATGTTGCCTAACATCGTACAGGAAAACGTTGTATCTCCAAGGGGCGACAGGCAATTGTCTGGCACAAAGCACACCTCTTCTCGTTCTCACAAAGCATTAATTCATTTGTATTGTGTCGTCTCTCAAATGGATTATTTCCATTCTATATTTGATAAAGTATTTATCATTACCTCATGAGCTGGAGGATGTGCTAGCAGTTCCAGTCCATGAAGCACGACTAATGCAGTGACTCAATCAATAACGCAACTCCTTTATGTCAACGTCGGTAACACCATCATCGACACCATCGACAATATACGACATTGATATCTGCAAATTCAGTCTTCTGCAATATATTCCAAATCAATATTTGAAATCAATAATTATGGATGTAATGTAAACATGACGTATCTTCTGACTGTATACTGTATATATGTTAGCACCGATCTAGCTTGAAGAAACAACAAAGGTATGATATGTATGTACAGAGCATAATCCCCGCAAATTTATCTTTCATTACAATTATCGAGTTTGCCCTTATATACATGTGTAGCGAATGATTTCAGTGGATGTCGGGCATTAGTGAGCACAGTCGACTATATTTGCATTCAGCACCACAAGGCTTCAGAAAATAGTTTGTATGGGACGTAGGTGCAATCGATGGGATACAGCTTAACGTCTTCATGGGTCTATTTATGTCGCCCTCAGCATCCAGAAATAGCCAGCATGCCATACCGTGTGTTCTGTAAAGATCGACTTCAGATGAAAACGTAAGGCATCATTAGTCATATTTGATTATGGTTTATACAGAGGATAAAGTCATTCAGGTGATTGTGCGCCTAACCTACAGGTACCTGCTTGGAAGAAATATGAACTATCTATAAATGCCCATCAGTCTGTCAGATTTTTTTATTTTAGCATTTTCTTTGATGGAATGATAATCTGGAAAAAATTGAACACATCAAACGTTTTACGGATAAAAATGTTTTTCTTATGACGTTTCGGGGCTGTTTTGAGTTAAACAGAATAAAGAATTGGTTATCCATAAAAACTTTAATGTCCAAAATTAGCGGCTACACTCCTCTTGATGGACTGAGAGTGCTTTGTACCGCTCACACTGAACAGTTTGTGAAAACCTAGCCCCAGTTGTGATTTACACTAAACTATTTCATTATCCCGGCATTTATAAATAGATTTATCGCCAAATGATGTCTGTCCATTACAACTATTCTTCACACATGGTTCCGGACGTCGCTTATCTTCAGGACAATGCCCCTATTTCAGGTCATTATCGATCCTCATTCCGCATTAGTTTCCCATCTAAAACATATCACGCGCTCTATTGGGAGCTGTTCCATCAATACTCGAGTGGACACATCATTAATAACATAAACATTACAGCAACACCGCCTAGTCGCCTTACACGGCTTAAGTTGGTGATGGACAATGTTTTGGGTAATGTGATCATGACCAAAGCCCAATGTATTATTTTCTCGTTGTTATTTGTCGCATATATTTCCCGTTGTTCAATTTCCATGCCAATCGGTAAATCGATGACAAATTCATTTTTCGTTTGTGTCGAACCTCGATTAACTGGACGTATTTGAGTAGGTCCTTCAACCTCGACACAACAGTGTAGATTATTACTGGACGTATTTGAGTTGGTCCTTCAACCTCGACACAACAGTGTAGATTATTACTGGACGTATTTGAGTTGGTCCTTCAACCTCGACACAACAGTGTAGATTATTACTGGACGTATTTGAGTTGGTCCTTCAACCTCGACACAACAGTGTAGATTATTACTGGACGTATTTGAGTTGGTCCTTCAACCTCGACACAACAGTGTAGATTATTACTGGACGTATTTGAGTTGGTCCTTCAACCTCGACACAACAGTGTAGATTATTACTGGACGTATTTGAGTTGGTCCTTCAACCTCGACACAACAGTGTAGATTATTACTGGACGTATTTGAGTTGGTCCTTCAACCTCGACACAACAGATTATTACTGTAGATTATCCCTTCAACCTCGACACAACAGTATTATTACTGGACGTATTTGAGTTGGTCCTTCAACCTCGACACAACAGTGTAGATTATTACTGGACGTATTTGAGTTGGTCCTTCAACCTCGACACAACAGTGTAGATTATTACTGGACGTATTTGAGTTGGTCCCTTCAACCTCGACACAACAGTGTAGATTATTACTGGACGTATTTGAGTTGGTCCTTCAACCTCGATTATTACTGGACGTATTTGAGTTGGTCCTTCAACCTCGGAACAGTGTAGATTATTACTGGACGTATTTGAGTTGGTCCTTCAACCTCGACACAACAGTGTAGATTATTACTGGACGTATTTGAGTTGAGTTGGTTCTTCAGCCTCGACACAACAGTGTAGATTATTACTGGACGTATTTGAGTTGGTCCTTCAACCTCGGCACAACAGTGTAGATTATTACTGGACGTATTTGAGTTGGTCCTTCAACCTCGACACAACAGTGTAGATTATTACTGGACGTATTTGAGTTGGTCCCTTCAACCTCGACACAACAGTGTAGATTATTACTGGACGTATTTGAGTTGGTCCCTTCAACCTCGACACAACAGTGTAGATGCGTGTTGGACCTGAAGGAGTTACTGTCACTATTAACAAAGCTTGGATCAGGTCCACAAGGCGATCTTGGATCAGGTCCACAAGGCGATCTTGGATCAGGTCCACAAGGCGATCATGGTGCTGAGACAATTGTAGGCCTATAATGAAGTCTGAACGATACTTTCTGCTATGCTTGTTTTGATGGATGACGCTCTGGTGTGCCTTCAGTCAGCTGGAGCAAGCGAGAAAATGTTTCTGCAACGCTGAAATCAGCAGGAATCTTCTGTATGTCACCGGTGACCCTCCGTATGTTGTTCGGACATCTTCTTATATCAGTTTAACACTTAAATAGAAGACAAAAGCAACCCCAAATTCTACATAAGGTTTACGACTTCCGCAAGACTAGTTCCGATATTGACACCTGGTATAATGGCGTCACGTTTATACTCTTAAACAAAGTCCGGGATAATGAAATATAAATGTCAATTCCAAGTACTACAACCAAGATCAATGCTGACGACACATATGCTGTGCCAAGCGTTCAGGTCTGTAAACACCAAAACACATCCGATAGTTTGACCGTGCAGCACAAAGTAGTGCCACACACATGTGAAGGGGGTCATTCCGTACTTTTTTGAAGGTCAATTGATATGTGTGGGCTATTATTTCCATCTTTCTTATCGATTATGCTAACCGTACAGTTATGATTTATCTGATTTCATTACTACATGTTATTGTCTACTTGTGATTTAGCGGTGGCGTGTCTTAAGCGGGCTATTTACATTGGTAGAAATCAGCGTGTAGCGTTCAGTGTTCCAGTCTGTGATTAGCAGACCTTGGAAGAGGTACCGATAAACCCACAATGTTGACGATTGACTTCGTTCAGGGCGTCCCAGGTCAATAGCAATATTACAGGAACGATTGCTTTGAAACCAGGCTCCACGAAAGCGATGCCAAACTTTCCACAATCCTCTTATCACCATGACGCCCCGTTTAAATCGCCATATTGACAACATACGTAAATGGCGTGCTCAACGTCCAAGGTGGGGTAATCGTCCTGGCCATGTGTCATGTTCTCACATGACTTCCTTGACAGGCGTCGTCTCTCGCTTCAGGGAGCATAGTTAGACACTAAAACCACATATACTAGTTCTGAAACATGATAATGAAATGAGGATAACACAACTCTATTCTACACGTGTTTATTAAAGAATATTTCGTTTCATTGAATGCCATTCTATGCCATTCACAGTGTTTTGTTATTAAAGAATATTTAGAAACAGTTTCATTGAATGCCATTTATATATGCCAGGGTTCACAGTCACGTATTGAAGCCCCGTTAGTTATATGTCTCGCCTCCCGGGCGATTTCATCTATGCCTATATAATTTGCCTCGATAATCCGGAAATTCGGTTTCCGGAACCGGACGGTAAGTAGCTGTCACCAATCAGTAAAATAAACAGTAAATTGCTTCACAGTCCGGACGCTGTAAGTCGTGTTCACGAACCGTAACAACACCTCCCGGCGATATTTACTTAATTAACTGGCCAACTGGGTTGTTGTTTTAATTAGACATAAAAAGCTCCCGACTGAAGATACCGTACCCTTACGCGTGGATGGCAAGTTAGCTGTTTTCTGATTGGTTAATGTACTTTGAGTACCGGTCACGGGACTAAAAGGATTTTGCTTTTACGACAATGCTGCATCATACCTTCGCTAACTTTGCGAAATGTGACCAAATGTCTCATATTCAACCGATGGATGCAGGAATAATTAGGACATTCAAGGCATACTACAATAGATCGCTTGTTAGACATTACCTCACCTGTGCTGAGGAAGGACGTGATCAGACACGTCGGGTCAACATGCGGATGACACTCGGTAAAATTATTGATGTGATGAATTAGGCTTTACATTAAATGCTTATTTGTTTTATCCAGATTCGTGTCGGGGTCTTGATTCAGTAGTCCGGACGATTCGCAATCCGGACGAATTTACTGAGAAACGCAACCGTCCGGATTAACAAGGCTTCACTGTATGTCTTTCTAATGCTGTTTCTAAGCGTGACACGCCCCTGTGACGTAAAAGACGTGGAAAAGCCACTATCACAGGGTGTGTTTGTATCGGACACAAATATGAGAGCTGATTAATGGACGAAGAGATGACGTGATGCCGTGATCACATGATCAGATGACGAGAGCACATGATGGTCACATCTGTATCACACGATAGTAGGATGTCCATCATTGCAGAACAGCAGCTAGTGATATTTCATGAATACATAACCAGAAATTGATTAAATAACATATAAACACCATGTATGTATGCATAAGTATATCCAGTATGTGAATGGAACAGAACGCAACTAAAGCTAGAATGTACATTAAACACACATGCAAGAAATGTACCTTGAGCACTGCATAATATCTGACTTGAACAACGTCACTTAACAACATCAAATCAACAGCAGTGACCAATTGACCAGTCTTGTTTCTATTGCCTGACTTACAGACAGTTTAAGGCAATTCACTGCACCTCACTGAACCTCTAACCTCCAGGGTGTAATGGTTCTCCACCATGACCCCCTAACATTGGTTTTCCTACCCCAGGGATCGGTTGGGTACTGGGGTGGGGAACTCTCTGAGTTCATGGATAGGTTAAAACCCGTCACTAGGAGACCAGGAAGAATGAAAAAGACTTCATAACAGTTTGGTCAGAAAAGTGTAAAATTAGATATATTGCCAAGAGTTGGCTTACTTCTGATATCATATAAAATATTCCAGAACATGAGAAATGTTTGGACTTTGTGTTAGTAAAAGCAAGTACATGTAATTTGAAACAAATTGCCTTACATGATGTACGTCTAACGTCATAAACAGAACTTAAGTTTATTGAACAAAACAATAGTACTTGAAATTAATATTGATCGAAAAGATGGAGCCTGTTATACTTTATATAATATATATTGTAGCAATATCTCAGCCATGCAATAACGGCTGATATCAACAATGGGTTTCACACAGTTGGCTGATCCAAACAAGAAACGCATTTATAAAGTTTAAACAATTGCGTTAAGGGTTTGCAACCGCCGAAATTACAGAAAGGTTTCTTACCTCATTTTATTAAAATATAACCTCTTGGTTAGTTTTAAATAGTCATGGTTTAATATACAAATTCTATAGTCACATATACAGAGGACAGTGCTTTCAAATGAAACAAGTCAATTTGAGCAGGTCATACCTTTGTCATTACGCTAAGACACCAGAGTTGTTACTTAATAGGCGGATTTAGGGTAGCAGTGGTATGGCCTCCCGCGGGAATAAGACCCTGGTTCCCAGTCGGCCACGCCCCAATCCCCTCAATCTGACCCGGGATATAGGCGTTGTCATTAGAGACGCTGTACGGAGGAGGGGCCGAGGGCTGACCTTGAAATCGCTGCCCATAGCCTTCCGAAGGGGGATAACCCGGTTGCATTCCATGTGTGACGTTATACCCGGCAGAATAAGCTGGTAGCATTGGTCCCCCAACAGCGGTTGACTGTTGGACTACCGTTACTCCCATGTTCACCGGCTTGACGACCCCCCTGTTCTGAGGGGGCATAGGAGTGATGATGCTTCCTCTGTAGCCCCGACGATTGATGGAGAGGAAGAAACCGGCCAATAGAGCCGCTCCGGCTCCAAGAAGGGTGAACCAGAAACTCAGAGATAACTTTGTGTAGATGCTCAGGTTGATCTGTGTTGTGTACACGATTGCCCCAACAATAGACAGCAATCCTGGGGACAAACAGAAGCGGGTAGACAGACAATAGCCTAAAATGTGACAATCCAATTTGATGCCAAACATATTAAAAAAAGGCCGCACATATGAAACGCTATTTTACCCGTACCTATCATATGTGTTATTCAATTTGTCCTTACGAGATGAATGGTAATTCCAAAGGACGAACTTAAGGAAAATGTAATTATTTCTCGGAAACATGTTGTCATAACTCCTCAGGTTTGAGTATTAAAATAAGAGTTTGTTATGATTCTGCGCAACTACCTTTGTTTTTAAACTTTTTTTATTGTTATAAAAGGTCAAACGGAATGGGCAAAAGTTTTCCAACTTTCAGCGAACGAATGTGTGATTGTTGAACATTGCAGTAAATAACATAAAGTGCTATACCTCCACGGGGATGCTACATTATTCATTAATATAATGAACGACCTTTCACGTCTGTAGTATGAGTCCAGCGACATCCTGTGGTCAAGAGATAGCTTCACATTGCTCTTATAAAGACAATCAGATAACGTCAGAATTATAAATAGCGTCGGCTTTTCACATATCAGCTTAAATCTGATCTACTTATTATCGGTTAAAACGGTTAGAGGTGTATCTAAATGAGGAAGGATAGCAAGATATAGATGAACAACAGTTATCCTTCCTTACTGCTCCAACTTTTAAATGCCTCTCAAAGAATGTTCCAGTAGATACACTACTGGTGGTCCTGTCCTTTGAACAACGATCTTCAGAGGATAAACTGTATTCCTCTATTTATGAATATTGACTTTGGATACATGTTCTGTATTACACTGGAAATGTATGCTTGTATCACACTGCATTTACTTCATTCGACGTTCAATACCGATTATCAGGCCCCATAGAACAAGTGCGACAATATTCTTGCAGAGAATAAAAGAAAAAATATGTGACAACTCCTAATTATATCCGAAAACAATAATCAATACAGTGTTGTAATATATAGTATTATTATTGATAACATTTATTGTATTAGTTTTATTTATATTCATAAATAGTACGTTTTATTGATATATTATCCATAAATGTGTCTTTTTTCAAACTGATGTGCGTCATGTCTATATAACTGCACATATGTGGGCGAGGAAAGGCCTTGTCAACTTTTAATCAATTCATTCTATTTTCCTTTCCTTAATGCGGTTAGCGATACATCTGTATATCTTTGTACGCCACCTGCGTTTCGCTTAATCAGACTGTGCTGTCTGAAGGAGTAAGAGGTTTCCGGACATTAAAGACGTATACAGCTGTGTCTCCATACCCGGGTCTCTATAGAAATACAGGGAATGAAGTAAGCAATGATCACTACCTAATTAGTTCTGTTATTTATTCAACACATACTGCAGGTGGATTTCACACACTGGGCCAGTCGCACTTAATGTGTGTTTCACCTGTATTATGTTGGCGGGGATAATGAACTACCTGAGTGAGCACTCAGGACCTTCAGCACTGGTTGCAAGGCCACACCCTTAACACTGAATCAGGAAGGGCACTTGAATGCCTAATGTGAAGTACACACTGTCTCTGATGGGGCTTTAAAATGAAACAAACAATATATGTTTTTCGATACATTTCAATACGGATATGACAGTTGTGTTTTGACTGTAGGTTTGCAAATCATCTTTTCAGCCTAGTGATGTTTATGACGTCGTCAAATCCTGTTTTTCAGGCGTCAACATTACTTTCATCTTAAATAGATGGTCGATCTATGATAATCTAAGAGCATCTGTCCTGAGCGTGGATGGGCGTTGGCTGCTGCATTACGTCATCCTGGCTAGCGCCCACCAGGACTGGTTGGCTTGAAATCTGTTACTGTGTTTTAGTGCAGTATCCATGTTAAAGTGTGACGCTATAAAAGTCAGTTCATTCGGCCCTACTCATGTCAAATAGCATGATGACAGCAAGGAACATCGGTCTGTAATTGATCGAATCTTGACAAGACAATCCAGTGATTGACATGATGAGCATCGATCTACGCAACTGGGATACGATAACATGCATCGACTAAATCAGTGAGCCAAATCCATACCCGAATATTCAGGCGGTTATGTAATAAAGAATACAGCTATTTCGTGGTATTCGGTAAGGTATGTTATTAAAAATTGCCTACCTGTGAAGAATGACAATATGATGACATTCTTTCCATCAACATAACTTGACGAGCAGATTTGCTTTAAAAACATGCACACTGTGATGAAGTAGAGGATACATGCCAGGACCTCGATCCCCCTCACAGCATCGAACCAGACTGCAAACATGAAAAACATCTTGTGTCAAAACATCATAACTGAAATAGAGGATAAAACATAAAATTTCGTTCACCCGCTGTCCTTATGACACTTTATCATCCAAAACTGTGTTCCACAGGAGATATCGCTTGTGTGAGACACTATATCTCCTAGTAATGTTTTTTGACGAGGAAATGTGGAATGACCGTCATATTAGACATAGTGCCAGTAACTAATGGCAGTATGCTCAGAATATACAATCAGGAAATTCAACGTTATAATTTTGTTTGATGCTGAATTTCACCCTCGTGTCTACAGATATCAATCACTCAACACTCGTTGATAATAGATTGTATCTCTGGACAAGAGAAACCAGTGATTCCGTTCCTTAGGGAACGATGACACATGACCAACAAAGTCATCGATGCTGGCCACGCTTCGAACAAGCAAGGGTTACCTGCACTTACGTCAGTCGTAACGGGGTTACACATTGTATAGGTGAGTGAGTGAATTTCGCTTGAACAGCATTGTAGTTATCTCAAGTTGCATCAGCCTAGATAGAACCACCGAGCATAGATCAGATGCTGACAATACTAGAAACACAAACAGGGGAATCTTGAATTCGAACACAGAATCAGAGTCTTCCGGCATGCCTATGGGGCCAACCTAGGCACCGGAAACTACAGCGTGAAAGGCTACTGATCCCAACCTTGGTCAAAGATCCAGCTACAGGAGTCTAATATATTGTATATGATCATGAAGGTGTTCAGTGACGGGAGTCGGGTCAACGTGTTAGACCAGGTAGGTATTCAGTGACGGGAGGTGTTCAGTGACGAAGGTGTCAGGGTCAACGTGTTAGATCATGAAGGTGTTCAGTGACGGGAGTCGGGTCAACGTGTTCGATCATGAAGGTATTCAGTGACGGTAGTCGGGGTATTCAAACGTGTTCAATGTTCGATGATGAAGGTATTCAGTGACGGGTCGGGTCGTGTTCGATCAACGTGTTCAATCACGAACGGAGTCGGGTCAACGTGTTCGATCATGAAGGTATTCAGTGACGGGAGTCGGGTCAACGTGTTAGATCAGTATGAAGGTGTTCAGTGACGGGAGTCGGGTCAACGTGTTGGACCAGAAGTTATTCAATAACGGGAATCGGTTCAACGTGTTAGACCAGAAGTTATTCAGTAACGGGAGTCGGGTCAACGTGTTCGATCATGAAGGTGTTCAGTGACGGGAGTCGGGTCAACGTGTTCGATCATGAAGGTGTTCAGTGACGGGAGTCGGGTCAACGTGTTCGATCATGAAGGTATTCAGTGACGGGAGTCGGGTCAACGTGTTCGATCATGAAGGTGTTCAGTGACGGGAGTCGGGTCAACGTGTTCGATCATGAAGGTATTCAGTGACGGAGTCGTCAGGTCAACGTGTTCGATTATGAAGGTGTTCAGTGACGGGGTCGGGTCAACGTGTTCGATCATGAAGGTATTCAGTGACGGGAGTCGGGTCAACGTGTTCGATCATGAAGGTATTCAGTGACGGGAGTCGGGTCAACGTGTTCGATCATGAAGGTATTCAGTGACGGGGTCGGGTCAACGTGTTCGATCATGAAGGTATTCAGTGACGGGAGTCGGGTCAACGTGTTCGATCATGAAGGTATTCAGTGACGGGAGTCGGGTCAACGTGTTCGATCATGAAGGTATTCAGTGACGGGAGTCGGGTCAACGTGTTCGATCATGAAGGTATTCAGTGACGGGAGTCGGGTCAACGTGTTCGATCATGAAGGTATTCAGTGACGGGAGTCGGGTCAACGTGTTCGATCATGAAGGTATTCAGTGACGGGAGTCGGGTCAACGTGTTCGATCATGAAGGTATTCAGTGACGGGGTCGGGTCAACGTGTTCGATCATGAAGGTATTCAGTGACGGGAGTCGGGTCAACGTGTTCGATCATGAAGGTGTTCAGTGACGGGAGTCGGGTCAACGTGTTCGATCGGGTAAACGTGTTGAAGGTGTTCAGTGACGGGGTCGGGTCAACGTGTTCGATCATGAAGGTATTCAGTGACGGGAGTCGGGTCAACGTGTTCGATCATGAAGGTTTCAGTGACGGGAGTCGGGTCAACGTGTTCGATCATGAAGGTATTCAGTGACGGAGTCGGGTCAACGTGTTCGATCATGAAGGTATTCAGTGACGGGAGTCGGGTCAACGTGTTCGATCATGAAGGTATTCAGTGACGGGAGTCGGGTCAACGTGTTCGATCATGAAGGTATTCAGTGACGGGAGTCGGGTCAACGTGTTCGATCATGAAGGTATTCAGTGACGGGAGTCGGGTCAACGTGTTCGATCATGAAGGTATTCAGTGACGGGAGTCGGGTCAACGTGTTCGATCATGAAGGTATTCAGTGACGGGGGTCGAGTCAACGTGTTCGATCATGAAGGTATTCAGTGACGACGGGAGTCGGGTCAACGTGTTCGATCATGAAGGTGTTCAGTGACGGGAGTCGGGTCAACATGTTCGATCATGGTGTTCAACGGACGCTTTCACCTCAATGTCCTATTTTCCAGGACTATCAGTTCTTGATATAGTAACAAACATTCCCGTAAAGTCTCATTGGGTCAATCAGTTCTATTTCGAAGTATTTCGCAAATTCATCAACGAGGACGTATAGAAGAAACGTTAGTTCATTTCATTGATATATAAATTGTGTTTTACTATGATAATAGCCCCTCTCAATGATATATTGTTTTTTGCTTTAATGATAGATCCTCTCAATGATATATTGTGTTTTACTAGGATGGTAGTTCCTTTCAATGATATATAGATTGTTTTACTGTGATGATAGCGCCTTTCAATGATATATTGATTGTGTTTAACTGTGATGATAGCGCCTTTCACTGATATATTGATTGTGTTTAACTGTGATGATAGCGCCTTTCAATGATATATTGATTGTGTTTAACTGTGATGATAGCGCCTTTCGATGATATATTGATTGTGTTTTACTGTGATGATAGCGCCTTTCGATGATATATTGATTGTGTTTTACTGTGATGATAGCGACTAAATGGAATATTGATTGAGTTAACTGTGATGATAGCGCCTTTCGATGATATATTGATTGTGTTTTACTGTGATGATAGCGCCTTTCGATGATATATTGATTGTGTTTAACTGTGATGATAGCGCCTTTCAATGATATATATATTGTGTTTAACTGTGATGATAGCGCCTTTCGATGATATATTTATTGTGTTTTACTGTGATAATAGCCCCTCTCAATGATATATTGTGTTTTCTGTGATAATAGCCCCTCTCAATGATATATTGTGTTTTCTGTGATAATAGCCCCTCTCAATGATATATTGTGTTTTACTGTGATAATAGCCCCTCTCAATGATATATTGTGTTTTACTGTGATAATGATGTGTTCTGTTTTGCTTCAATTATAGTTCATCATACATATTCTGTTGTGCTAAGATGGTAGCTACCTTCTAGTTAGATAATGTGCCGCGTTTATGGCTACTCTAAATGAAATTATATACTAGTAACGTGTACATGTAAATTTGGATAATTTCTCAAATTGTATTATGGATGCTTACTGAATATGTTACTTTCTTTACAAATGTGAAAATTACAAAGTAATCACGTATGCCTGTCATCTGAATGTTCATTCTAACATCTAAGTATACCACTATGACATGGGTTTCAAGTCATCTATGCATAACATAAAACACATATGGTTTAATGCCAGGTGCTCGTTTTTAAAGTAAACCAATCACACTTATTATGAAGAACTCACTTTCTTGTTCTCCAATAGCATACACTTGACATCTCTCCAGCCCCTCAGCGCAGGTTTGCCATAGTCCGGCTTGAAATGTTAGGTCGTCAGAAAATAACACCCACTCAGGGTATCCAACACCGAACACCAGACTGATCAGTCCCAGAACTAGACACAGCAGGGAGAACTTACACCACCCTGATTGTTCCGAGAATCCAGCCATTCCACCCCGGTATCACTCCATGACTGTCAGTGCCGGGTGGGATGAGGCTGCTGCAGTCTGCCTGCAATAGGAAGACCAACCGTCTACAGAGGAACCTGCCTTCTCATCTCGCTCCGTGTACATGAGTACAGTTGGCACGAGATGGAATGGATGGTGGAGGGCTGCCTTCTCGAGTTTTCCGGATATTGCCGTCCGACATCGCCTAGCTACAGGGTTCAGTAAAGAAACAACATTTTCAGCGTGACATAATTTGCATGATAACCTATCTTTTGACCTGAACATTTTTATAGTTTACATGATACATATTGTGTTAACGGTATCTTGCCTCGATGAAGAAAGACTCAACTTTGAAGGAAAAATATACTTTCAGGAGCAGAGTCGCTCTGCGGCTTCTGGCAATGTATTTGCAATGAGCAGATTACAAATTGGTCGATACCCGATATTGATTTCCTTCAGACATGGTTATCCTATTATGGTGACCCTATTGTTTCCTAATGATGACTTGCATTTAATGTGGCTGAAAGTAAATCAATGCATTACTATCAGAAACGGAATCATTTATCGTAAAATAGAATAGTCCACAGAAATAGCCACATGCATTTGAAACATTTAGAAAATCGTCATAATTTTGTCAGATAATAAACTGGAGTATAGCCTGCTCGTAATGTAGAAGCTGAGTGAGTGAGTGAGTGAGTGAGACATTTCGTTACTTGAAACAGTATTCCATTAGCATCAGCGGATGGGGCTCTGGGAGGCTACATACATTATACTAGTCTGTCTCACAGTCCCCGAACAACAACATTTTCCCTACTGCTTAGACCTCTCTGCAGTGCTAAAGCCCTAAATAAAGCAAGTCTAGATTTCCTCAGGTTCTGAATCTCTTGTCTCCCTGGGGCTCATTTTCAATTTAAATACGCTTGTTTGCTACTATCAAACTTATATATATTCAGAGACTAAGCATTAGTCTAACATTATACCCATGAGGTGAAATCAAATAAGAGGGTTATCATCTAACTACAACACGTATTTGAATGTCTAATTACTTCAGGAAATGATCTCTTTCTCTGCGCGAGTGAGAGAGTGTGTGAATAGATGAATGAGGAATGGAGGGCATGAGTGAATTACATTTTAATCAAACATTATCCGTAGGGGTGACACCAAGTATAGCCTTCAAGTGTTTCGAATGACACAGTGGGTTCTCTTTGACTACCATGGCTTTTCAAATGAGGAAAGGAAGTGAAACTGAAATGTTCCTTCGACATACGTCTCAGTATTGTGTACCACATACCCAGAGACACACAGCCTAAGGGTTCTCTGTTGCTGTTTATGTGACAATACGTTCTATTCACCAGCAGCCTGAACCATCGACCGTCAGTTGCCAGCCAACTCGCACACAGACTGGAGGAGACACATTCAACCGCCAGCATGTAGTCCTCTTTGTCAATACAGCCACGATATAACAATATTTGTTTTTGGTTCGAAATCGATAAAATATAAATGTCAAGTTGCATTATGCAAGCTACTTTTTGTCGTTAATAACCGGAGGTGTATTGTCTAACACGTCTATCGAACTGTTTCGAACAATATCAGAGAAATATATCAGTTCGAACACGCAAATGACAATGTTCAAATTCAATAATCATGCACGAATGCCTTTGTAAACATTTGAAATGGAGCAAAATGTAGGCTTCTTTCGATCATCCTGATTCTAGGGTATACTGCTGTTAGACGTGTATTACGAAAACGATGAAACCATGCCATGTTGGAGAGAAAGAGAGCCTTATTTCACACCATACTGACAACATATCACAGTGTATGTTATTTATAAGAGAACAAAACAGCTGTGAGCCTGCCGTCGTTTACTCGTGGCCATTAAACGTTGTTACCGTGTGTGTGATAGAAATGGATTACACCAGTAAACAAAAGAATAAAACATTAAATGGTAGGAGCAGTGTTAAGTATGATATGCAATTGTGTTGTTTTTTATAAATTGATAATAAAGTAACATTGTATGAAAACATATGAAAGGTTTCCTTAGAAAAACGGTGAACTAAAATTCTCTGCACGAAGAATGGCAATGACCTGAAGGTTCTGTGTTCAGAGTATGGCATTGACATGCATGTTCTCTGTTAAAAGAATGACAATGACCTGCAAGTTTCTGTGCGAAGAATGGAAATGACATAGACGTTCTCAGTACGAAGAATGACAATGACCTGCAAGTTTCTGTGCGAAGAATGGAAATGACATGGATGTTCTCAGTACGAAGAATGGCAATGACCTGAAGGTTTCTGTTGAGGAATGACACAACCAATACATCAGCAATATACATGTAACATGACAAGCAACCAATTTCATTGGCTTGCTGGCCCGTTCATAAGGTAAAGTATATGTTTTGATATAATCTCATTCCTTGAAGCTTTTGTTACAAAACATGGTGATCAGAGATACAGTCACATATCCATAATGAAGGGTTCACGACAGTTTGTCCAAACATGAAAGCAAATGTCCAGATCTAAAATGATGGACTTTTGATAACGACTCTGTAAAATTTGGGGGCAAGACATTTGGACAATAAGTAGATATCCCAATGGAATTTGGCCATACCCAATATTTCGCGGACGTATTCCTTTATGGATATGTATAACAATTTCTGCTTGGATTAGTGAAAGTCAGAACAAGATACGTTTTGTAATTAACAATTGTCGTGCGTAATTAAAGGGTTTTGAAATCAATACAAATATCTGCAAAGAAATTGAAAGGGCGTCACACAATACCTTTATAATAACAAAATTCATTGGTACTAGATTTACCGTGTCAGTATAAAGAAGATTGCGGTGGTAGTAGCAATAAATACAATGATAATAATCACATAGCAGCATATGTGGTCAAGCTTCAAATAGCCCGGAAAAAAATATAATCTTCATACATACACTTATCTTGATTTAATGTGAGACGGTAGAGGCATTAGCATGTCCCTTTATATAATCTTACACACCTTCCTGAATGTTCTAGACTTACCCAGATTAATCAATGCTGTTCTTGAAGTTTCATGATTACTCTTGACTTCAAAAGCGATTGACTCTAACTTGCACACTAATGCTAACCTCTGACTGTTAACATTAACAAGGAAATTACAACACTGTTCTATAATGTATTACACTGTCATATAACACCATAACAGTCCTGGGTCTTTTGTAGAGTATTTATATGATGATTTAGAGAAACACTCGTAAAAGGACGTTAGATGCTTATAGTCCAACATATTCTGAAGTATGGGGAAGTTTTTCTAAACACCTACATTTCCACGGAATCTGTTCCATTATATTGTGTTGCAGTACATTTAGACATGTAATTATACTGTGAATAAATTCTCCTATTTATCAGTTCCAGTCCAAGGGAGACAATTGTAAGGTGATAACATATTCAACAGGCAGAGACGTTTCTCTAACACGTGGAGCACGCACAGGCACGCAGTCACAAACAAATGCAGTTACACACGCACGATTTCCGTGCTTGTATCCCACTATGTGACACAATCCTTAACATTTGTGCATATTCGCCACGCCTTTTGTGAAAAAGCACAAGTGTAAAGTAAAGGCGATTTCGCTCAAGCCATCAGACAATACACGTCATATGATTCCTAAACTTGATTTAAACAGTCTAAGTAAACTTAGGCTCAGTATTATTCGTTGTTAGACTGTTAATTTAATGACATATCAATACAGTACTGATGTATTTTCATCTTAACTGAGTTATTCAAATATCACATCAGTTTTGCAAATCAATATGTATGGAACACAATTTACAACACGTGTGATCATAAGCACTGCACGTCATTGGAAATGAAAGTAATTGTATATGGTTAGAATTCATATCTATGTTTTAATGGTGAATAGAATTTTGTTTTCATTCTGGTGGGAACAGAAACGACAAACCCATTTCCACATCCATAGGAAATCTCTGCTAAATGTCGATTGTACAATTCTGACTATATCATGCTTGCTCACCAGTATTACAGCTCTACAACGCGGTATGTAAAGACTGAGTCTGGACAAGACAGTCTAGTGATTGCCAACGTTAGATAGATGACACAGTATTTATGAATCACTATAAAAAAGTGATGATATCACATGTTCGTATCCTGCCCCGCCAGTAGCATCCACTATTCATTGTTCACGTGAAATAATTCGGGAAGGTGTGGTATAAGTCAAAATAAGGAATTACATCGAACAAGAACACGCCCGATTGTACCTCAAAGGTTGAAAAGGAAACACCAAAGGTTGGCGCTGTTGGAATATTGCTCGACATGAAAGGCAAGTTGACTATAGGAAAGTTGAAGTCATCCCGTTTGTCATACAGCCTTGTGAAGAACTTTTTGTGACGCTGAATCTTCATAAATAGATCCAAATATGAAACAGTTGAGGCGATCTCACTTGTCTCCTTAATTTGAAGCTCATGTGGTTAAATCAGTGGAAGGGAATTGGCTATTAGATTGCTAAAGAAAGATTATCGATCATCAATACCTGAAGCTTAAGTTAAACTTCTTGGCCAAATTACCTCGTTTGATTTTGCCAATCATGGTGGTTAGCAGAAATTCCGATTCAGATGCAGAAATATTCCTATACTGTCAATATACTGATACTCCATCATGAAACTAATCAACAGGGGTGGTGGGGTAGCCTAATGGTTAATGCGTCTTCACGCCGAACACCCAGGTTCGACTAGTTCCCCACATGTGTACAATGTGTGAAGCCCATTTCCACAGTGATATTGCTTGAATATTGGAATGTTGTAAAACCATGCTCCCATCGCTCGCTCAGTCGATGACTAGCATTGACTCGATGTTCAATCCCATTTCACCACCACCGTAATAATGTCCACAGAGGTCCTTTTTAGGAATCTAGTCTGTTTTAGTTGACATAACGAAGGAGCCCGGTTTGAATTTTGAGAAACACACCTGTCAAACCAACAGACATACAAGGTGTTTAGAAAAGACAAACTTTGTACAGCTTACACACACGTATAGATGCCGAGCATATTCCTGAAACTGATGACATTGATGGTGATGCTAATAATGAGTTAGTGTATCAAACTCTACACTCCCAGGTGCAACGTTTTTGCAGTGGATGGTAGCAAATGATTGAAAGACATTGCAC